TGGTTTTCAAAACATTGCTTGTGAATAAAAAATGGCCAATAGCTACTAAAATTAATTTAGTCAATATTTTTCTTACTTTTAGCGACTAAAACTTAGACAACAATTGTATAGAATTTTTTGGAGGTAAGGCCTCGTTTGGCAAGTGGCTTTTTTAGTCAAAAATTCAAAGAGTTACTAAAAAATTAAAATGCCAATACCAAAAAGTCAAAGATTCTCTTTTCTCTCTACTTTTTGCACATCTTTTCGTAAAAAATTAAAAATTCATCCCAAACATACTATTTTTTTTTACATCACATTTTAGCTAAAAAGTCAAAAAACTACTAAAAAAGCCTGTTCCCAAACGAGGCCTTAGATTTTAAAATTTGAAGGGATTCCTAAATGAATTAGTGACTAAATTTTCAGTTGGTCGAGAATGGAAGCATAATCCATTGATTAAACAAACCCACTATTCTGGGTTTCTTCTCTCTCACGCCTCACACCTCTGCTCTCCTCTCTGTTACTGGAGCACCACCGCAAGGGTTACACGATTACACCGCGAGACGCCTCTGCCCTTCTCTCTATTACTGGAGCACCACCACAAGGGTTACATGATCACATTGCGAAGGTTACACGAGCATTACCGCAAGGGTTAGCACCACCGTCACTTTTTCTCAGGTAGGTATGTCCTCTCTCTTTTTTTTTTCTCTCTCTCTCTCTCTCTCTCTGACTCCCTCTCTATGTCTTCTTCTATTCGCATATACCTTCACACCCAACCCCAAATTCAACCCAGCCCTAAATTGACCCATCTTGCTGGAGTGGTGATTGGACTGCTCTTTGGATTTCACCGCTTGTACACCCGTAAATAGTTAGAATGATGCTTCTAGCCGAGCTTGTTCCTGCTGCTCTCTGGACTTTCACCCCTTGAACACTGTTAGTCTGATTAGAAGCAATACAGTAGCCTAATATATGATGTTTATAATGCCAACATCTCAATCCCTTAAATTGAATAAATGTGCTTCAATGCAAATGTTTCAAATTATATATATATATAGTTGAAATAGTTTAAATGGCATGAACAATATATATATATATATATATAATATTAATGCTATTTGTCAATTAGTTAGTATAAACAAAATACTCAAAGTAGCCAACAATGGAAAGAAAGAGGAAGTGGAATGAAATCTCAATCTTTGGCAAAGTTTTATGTATTTAAATGGGCGCTTTCTTTTGACCACCCCATGATGAAAATTGGAATGTGCCATTTTATGAATTTCGCAACCGAAAACTCAGATCGAAACTTTAATCCCAAACCTCACCCATTTTGGCCAAATTATTTTATATCACTAATATTATATTAATTTTTAGTATTTTATAATGTTATGTGTTTGTACATGTTTTGAGGTGGTATTATATAAATTGGTACATTTTAGCTATTTGATAAATAGAAAATAATAGATAAAAAAAAAAAAAAAAAAAAAAAAAGAAAATAATGAAAACAAAAAAGAAAAGTTAGAGTGTGGTCAGGGCTATTTTTGGGGGAGAAGAGAAAGAAAAGATAGAGAAAATATTATTATGACTTTCAGTGGGTGGTGGAAGAAAGAGTCTGAGGATAATGGTGTTTAGAGTGGTTGAAAATTATTTTGAGAGAGGGGGCATGCATGGTAGGGGGGAAGATGGAGAATATTGAAAAGAGATGAGAGGAGGTGAGAAGGTGGAAAGGATAATACATAGAGAGCCACATGCAAAAATCGGGAGGCGCTCCCTCTCGGCAAGAAAATACATAGCTACACACAGAGGGGAGGAGCAAAAAACACACAGCTGGTCTCTCTCTCCCTCTCTCACGGGGTTGACAGAGGATCAATTTGTTTTTTAAAAAGCAAAAGACACACATGCATCCATGCTTCATCCCTCTCCTATGACAAATACACATACACCACTACAAGAAAACTGGCCTATAACAACGTTTTTGTTATGGCGTTTTTTTAAAAAACGTTGTTTCAAAACGATTTTCAAAATATTTTGTAAGCAACTCATTTAAAAAAAAACATGCGTGCTAGGTGTATTCACATATTTCTCCTTTTTTATCCCACGCGTTTCTCTCAGTCCCGAGATAGATCTAGGGTTTTCTTCATCACTCCTCTTTCGTATGGTGAAAGTTCACTAGATTGAGCATCGTAGGCTCCGATTCACGATCGTAATCTCTATCCGGCTCTCTCCATCTTGGCTCAAAGTTCTCGATCAGTCCGATTTGAAGAATAATTTTGTGAGTCTCATTTTTTGATTTTTTGATTTTGTTTATGTACGAACTCAGATCTGTATCTACGATCTCAGATCTGTATCTACAATCTCAGATCTGTTTGATATATATAAACACTAATTTATTTTAAAGAGAACACAGATCGATTATCGATCGATCGATTGATCTACGATCTCAAAGCATATTAACATCCTCAAACTGACTCTATTTCTGACTCGTTCGTGGTGATCTTTGTTGGTCCATCACATTAATCAACATTGACTTCATCTTTCTGAATGGTTGTGGTTTTGTACAGTATAGGTTCTGTGTGTTTTTTCTAATGATCTGTAAGTTTTTTCATGGTACCATCAATTGTACATTTCTTTTTTTGTATAGTTTGCATAGTTCTTGTTTTCTCTTTTAGACTCCTTAGTTTGATTAAGAGTTATTGAACATGCTAATTGGATCTTTTCTAGGTGATCATCAACTTTTAGAGTGTGTTTGAACTCTTTATGTCTGTTTTTCATGCTTGATTATCAGAATTTTTTGTAATTGTAGAAATTTACAGGCAATTACTAACAACGATAAAATAATTGAAAAATGAAAAATTAAATAAACATTTACCATTTTTAGACATGGATATTTTGTAATAAGTGATGTTGCTGTTTGGATTTTGTACAAGGAACGTGAAAAGCTTGTGTCAAAGTCTTGCTCACATGGTGTTTGATTTTTGTTCTGTTTAAGATTTTTGATAAGCTTTATGTGATTTGAGCTGCTAGTAATTTGGAATTTATTTTCTAGATTTCATATGCTTAGGCAATCAACATATTTATTTACATGGTATTTTCTTAATTATGTCTATCAGATTGAAGAAGAAAGTCACCGAATTCCTTTAGTAAGTGGGTTTTCAAGGATTTTGCTTGTAGTGTTGTAAATGGGAAAACACTAGTGAACCAAAGATACTGATGAGCAAATTGGGGATAATCAGCCAGGCTGTGTGTGGGGTGCCCTTCGTGCTCTTGACTATCATCACTGGCATTACAATGTTAAAAAGCTACTACCCCACAAGAAGCGTAATGGACCAAGACATGTGAAAGGTAAGCGATATGAATTTGCACTGTGCTTTCTTCTTCTTGGTGATTATGGATGACATACAAGGTTAGAAGTCCAAATTTGGTGCTCTATTTATTATTTTGGTCTTTGTAGAACCTTTGATTTTTCCCAACTCTTCAATTCTAGTTACTTTTATTAGTCTCATCAAATACACAAATTTATACTTTATGCTAAGAATCTGTTTGGATTTTTACTTTTTTTTTTCCCCCTTTTTCTTACTAGTTATGTTTGGAGATTAATTTCCTCAATAGAGCTACTGTGGATAACTTCACATGCGGATTCTGATGTTAGCATTTCTTTTCCAAACTCATGTTCAAATGTTTTCATTTTTTTTTTTTTTTTGGGTTGAAAATGTTAAATTAGAAAAGAAACTAAAGTCTGTGGAAATTTACTCCATTCAATAGTTTCAACTTCCAACTAGAAATGATGAATTCTGCCATGGGGTGGTTGAAGGAGTGAGGACTGTAACTGTTGAGAGTGGTCCATTTTGCTTGATTTTGAGTCCTTCAAATGAGAGAAATACGAGATCTTTTAAAGGGATATAATACCCAACGGACAGGTTAAAATGTCCAATTTTTTTGAGCTTATTGTATAGTTGTTCAACTAAATAGATATCGATCAAAAAAAAAACTAAATAGATAAACTTTTCTTTTGATGCTTTTAACAGAATTTATAGTTAGTTCAATCGGCAAGTTTCATCTATATCTTTTGTTGTTGGATGATACTCTTGCATACGTGGTAGTTCTTTTGTGGAGTTTAATATATATTTATCGATTTCCTTTTCCTTTGTGCTAGGAGATTTGAAACTAAGACTTACCCCATCCTGTCCACCCCATCCATTCATCATTTGAACCAAGTAACTGTATTATTTTGATTCCATGCAGTTGTAAAGGAATGTGCATGAGGTCGTTTCATGCCACTGTTGAAGCTGGTTCTGAATCCATGTGTGAATCTCTCTGCCTTTCTGATGAACTAGTAGATGTACGCTATCCTTTGGTTTCTACTTTATATTCTCTTTTAGCTTGCATTGTTTTGGTTGTTGATGCTGTTTGATAGATTGTTGGCACGTTCTGAAGTACATGTGATGTATGTATTTTACAGGCAATACAAAAAAATTTCTGTGAGAACTATCAAAAGAAGCAGCACCAGTATTTCTCTTGTGGGGAATTAGGTTCTCCTGATAAATTGTCTGGTGCAGAGGTAGGAGTTCTTCTGGAAAATTGAACTAATATTTTAATGTTGACTGCACATTTTCCCCATTGGATCTTCATAGAATTCTTTTTGGTTAAGTTTAGCTATTATCATTATAAAAATTGAAGGTATTCCATCAAGAGCAAAATTTAGCCACTTAGTGTTTCTATAATTGAGGTGAATATATTAGCATGCCAATTCCGCAAACTGGGTGAAAATAAGTTGGATCCTAATTTGCAATTTGCAGTTTGCAGACGTTGTCCCAAGTCGTACCACAGAAAATGCTTGCCGGGTAACCAGTTAAATGTTTCCACAATGTTCCACCTGTTTCTGAATGCTATCATGAAAACCATAAAAATAAGTTGGATCCTGATTTGCAATTTGCAGTTTGCAGATTTTGTCCCAAGTCGTATCACAGAAAATGCTAGCCGGGTAACCATTTAAATGTTTCCACAATGTTCCACCTGTTTCTGAATGCTATCATGAAAACATATGGTCTAATTTAACTACTAGTTTTCAATGGTTGATGCTTGGTTTACTTTGATCAGGAATATTACTTTTGAAGATCTGGAGGATGAGGGCATCCTGCAAAGGGCTTGGGAAGGTCTTATTCCAAACCGTATTTTGATTTATTACTTGTAAGTGCCCTTATTCTTTTTCTCCTTTATTTTTTCTGCAGTGGCTTGCAAATTAATTACTTAAAATTTTCCTTTTACTAGAGAACATGAGATTGATGATGAAATTAGAACTCCAAGTAGAAACCACATAAAGTTCCCAGATGATGGACAAAATAAGGAAAGACAAGCATTAGAGCTACTCTTGAGCAAAAGGAAAGTTTTGCAGAAGGAGAGAGCTCTGGCCTCAACAGATGCTTCCAGAAAGAGAACTCTTGGGAAGGTATAGAAAGGGGTGGATTTGTCTTCAATTACCACAGTGGATGATTCTTCAAAGAACAGTGCCAGAAAATTGACTCGATCCAATTATTCAAAGAAACAGAAAGTGGAGGATATAACCAGAAAGCCTCTGAACAACACTGGCTCTACAAAAGTTAGTAAGTCCTTCACTGATGGAAACAAGTTTTCCTTCAGGAATAGTGTGTACAACTTGATCAAAATTATTCAAAGAAACATAAATTTTTTATTTTTTTTATTTTT